TTCAGTTCTGCCCACAAATGTTCTATAGGATTGAGGTCAGGGCTTTGTGATGGCCACTCCAATACCTTGACTTTGTTGTCCTTAAGCCATTTTGCCACAACTTTAGAAGTATGCTTGGGGTCATTGTCCATTTGGAAGACCCATTTGCGACCAAGCTTTAACTTCCTGACTAATGTCTTGAGATGTTGCTTCAATATATCCACATAATTTTCCTTCCTCATGATGCCATCTATTTTGTGAAGTGCTCCAGTCCCTCCTGCAGCAAAGCACCCCCACAGCATGATGCTGCCACCCCCGTGCTTCATGGTTGGGATGGTGTTCTTCGGCTTGTAAGCGACCCCCTTTTTCCTCCAAACATGACGATGGTCATTATGGCCAAACAGTTCTATTTTTGTTTCATCAGACCAGAGGACATTTCTCCAAAAAGTACGATCTTTGTCCCCATGTGCAGTTGCAAACCGTAGTCTGGCTTTTTTATGGCGGTTTTGGAGCAGTGGCTTCTTCCTTGCTGAGTGGCCTTTCAGGTTATGTCGATATAAGTCTTGTTTTACTGTGGATATAGATACTTTTGTACCTGTTTCCTCCAGCATCTTCACAAGGTCCTTTGCTGTTGTTCTGGGATTGATTTGCACTTTTCACACCAAAGGTTGTTCATCTCAAGGAGACCGAATGCGTCTCCTTCCTGAGCGGTATGCCGGCTGCGTGGTCCCATGGTGTTTATACTTGCGTACTATTGTTTGTACAGATGAATGTGGTACCGTCAGGCATTTGGAAATTGCTCCCAAGGATGAACCAGACAAAAGGAGGTCTACAATTTTTTTTCTGAAGTCTTGGCTGATTTCTTTGGATTTTCCCATGATGTCAAGCAAAGAGGCACTGAGTTTGAAGGGTAGGCCTTGAAATACATCCACAGGTACACATCCAATTGACTCAAATGATGTCAATTAGCCTATCAGAAGCTTCTGAAGCCATGACATCATTTTCTGGAATTTTCCAAGCTGTTTAAAGGCACAGTCAACTTAGTGTATGTAAACTTCTGACCCACTGGAATTGTGATACAGTGAATTATAAGTGAAATAATCTGTCTGTAAATAATTGTTGGAAAAATGACTTGTGTCATGCACAAAGTAGATGTCCTAACCGACTTGCCAAAACTATAGTTTGTTAACAAGAAATTTGCGGAGTGGTTGAAAAACAAGTTTTAATGACTCCAACCTAAGTGTATGTAAACTTCCGACTTCAACTGTATCTGGTGAAACACAATTTTTTTCCAAAAGTGTACTAAGGGTTGGTAACAGGCTGATTGGTCGGCTATATGAGCCAGTAAAGGGGGCTTTACTATTCTTGGGTAGTGGAATGACTTTTGCTTCCCTCCAGGTCTGAGGGCACACACTGTATTGTAGGCTTAGATTGAAGATATGGCAAATAGGAGTGGCAATATCTTCCGCTATTATCCATCCAAGTTGTCAGACCCAGGTGGCTTATCATTGTTGATAGACAACAACCAAAAAATTCACCTGTTCCACACTCACTTTTCGGAAATCAAAATTACAATGCTTGTCTTTCATAATTTGGTCAGTTATACTTGGATGTGTAGTGTCGGCATTTGTTGCTGGTATGTCATGCCTAAGTTTGCTAATTTTGCAGATTAAAAAAATAATTAAAGTAGTTGGCAATATCAGTGGGTTTTGTGATGAATGAGCCATCTCATTCAATGAATAATGGAGCTGAGTTTGCCTTTCTGCCCAAAATTTCATTTGAGGTGCTCCAAAGCTTTTTACTATAATTCTTTATATCATTTATCTTTGTTTCATAGTATAGTTTCTTATTTTTTAAATTCAGTTATGTCACATTATTTCTCAATTTGCAGTACGTTTGCCAATCGGTCATGCAGCCAGACTTATTTGCCATTCCTTTTGCCTCATTCCTCTAAACCATACACATTTTCAATTCCTCATCAATCCACAGGGATTTAACCGTTTGTACAGTCATTTTCTTAATGGGTGCAACTTATTAGTAACTGGAATAAGCAATTTCATAAATGTGTCAAGTGCAGCGTCTGGTTGCTCCCCATTACACACCACAGACCAGCAAATAATCTTTACATCATCAACATAGGAATCACCACAACTTATTGTATGACCTCTTATACACTATATTAGGCCCAGCCTTTGGAACTTTGGTTTACCTAGATATGGCTACTATATTGTGTTCCCTATATTCCATGGATTTGGATACAGCTTTAAAGCAGGCCTTTATTGACCCTTCTCTCTATGGGTTCCTCCTGCTGTAAATGTCACCAGTGACCCTGTATCAAGGGTTATTCCATGCCCTTGTTGACCCCTCTCTCTCTGTGTGTCTGTCTGTTCAAATAAAATAAAATAAAATGTTATTTGCCACATGCGCCGAATACAACAGGTGAAATGCTTACTTACAAGCCCTTAACCAACAATGCAGTTTTTAAGAAAAAAAAAAAGTGTTAAGTAAAAGATAGATAAATAAAAAATAGCAAATAATTAAAGAGCAGCAGTAAAATAAAATAACAGAATGGAGGATATATACAGGGGGTACCGGTACAGAGTCAATGTGCGGGGGCACCGGTTAGTCGAGTAATATTGAGGTAATATGTACATGCGGGAGTTAAAGTGACTATGCGTAAATAATAAACAGAGTAGCAGCAGTGTAAAAGAGGGGGTTGGGGTGGGTGGGCAATGCAAATAGTCTGGGTAGCCATGATTAGCTGTTCAGGAGTCTTATGTCTTGGGGGTAGAAGCTGTTAAGAAGCCTTTTGGACCTAGACTTGGCGCTCCGGTACCGCTTGCCGTGCGGTAGCAGAGAGAACAGTCTATGACTAGGGTGGCTGGAGTCTTTGACCATTTTTAGGGCCTTCCTCTGACACCGCCTGGTATAGAGGTCCTGGATGGCAGGAAGCTTGGCCCCAGTGATGTACTGGGCCATACGCACTACCCTCTGTAGTGCCTTGCGGTCGGAGGCCGAGCAGTTGCCATACCAGGCGGTGATGCAACCAGTCAGGATGCTCTCGATGGTGCAGCTGTAGAACTTTTTGAGGACCCATGCCAAATCTTTACAGTCTCCTGACGGGGAATAGGCTTTGTCGTGCCCTCTTCACGACTGTCTTGGTGTGTTTGGACCATGATAGTTTGTTGGTGATGTGGACACCAAGGAACTTGAAGCTCTCAACCTGTACCACTACAGCCCGATCGATGAGAATGGGGGCGTGCTCAGTCCTCTTTTTGTTCCTGTAGTCCACAATCATCTCCTTTGTCTTGATCACGTTGAGGGAGAGGTTGTTATCCTGGCACCACACGGCCAGGTCTCTGACCTCCTCCCTATAGGGTTTCTGGGATAATGGTGTTGATGACTCCTGAGTGGCGCAGTGGTCTAAGGCACTGCATCGCAGTGCTAACTGTGCCACTAGAGATCCTGGTTCGAATCCAGGCTCTGTCGCAGCCGGCCGCGACCGGGAGACTCATGGGCGGCGCACAATTGGCCCAGCGTCGTCTAGGGTAGGGGAGGGAATGGCCGGCAGGGATGTAGCTCAGTTTATAGAGCATGGCGTTTGCAACGCCAGGGTTGTGGGTTCGATTCCCACGGGGGGCCAGTATAAAAAAAATATGTAATCACTAACTGTAAGTCGCTCTGGATAAGAGCGTCTGCTAAATGACTAAAAAAAAAAAAAAAAAAAAATGTGTGCCATGACCAGCCTTTCAAAGCACTTCATGGCTACAGACGTGAGTGCTATGTGTCGGTAGTCATTTAGGCAGGTTATCTTAGTGTTCTTGGGCACAGGGACTATGGTGGACTGCTTGAAACATGTTGGTATTACAGACTCAGTCAGGGACATGTTGAAAATGTCAGTGAAGACACTTGCCAGTTGGTCAGCGCATGCTCTGAGTACACGTCCTGGTAATCTGTCTGGCCCTGCGGCCTTGTTGACCTGCTTAAAAGTCTTACTCACATCGGCTACGTAGAGCGTGATCACATAGTCATCCAGAACAGCTGATGCTCTCATGCATGCTTCAGTGTTGCTTGCCTCGAAGCGAGCATGGAAGTGATTTAGCTCATCTGGTAGGCTTGTGTCACTGGGCAGATCGCGGCTGTGCTTCCCTTTGTAGTCTGTAATAGTTTTCAAGCTCTGCCACATCCGACGAGCGTCAGAGCCGGTGTAGTACGATTCAATCTTAGTCCTGTATTGACTCTTTGCCTGTTTGATGGTTCGTCAGAGGGCATAGCGGGATTTCTTATAAGCGTCTGGGTTAGAAAGCGGCAGCTCTACCCTTTAGCTCAGTGCGGATGTTGCCTGTAATCCATGGCTTCTGGTTGGGGTATGTACATACGGTCACTGTGGGGATGACGTCATCGATGCAGTTATTGATGAAGCCAGTGACTGATGTGGTGTACTCCTCAATGCTATCGGAAGAATCCCGGAACATATTCCAATCTGTGCTAGCAAAACAGTCCTGTAGTTTAGCATCTGCGTCATCTGACCACTTCCTTATTAACTGAGTCACTGGTGCTTCCTGCTTTAGTTTTTGCTTATAGGCAGGAATCAGGATTTGCCAAATGGAGGGCGAGGGAGAGTAAAGGTGATCTAGAGTTTTTATTTTTTTTATTTTTTTAATTTTTTCTGGTTGCACATTTAACATGCTGGTAGAAATTAGGTAGAACGGATGTAAGTTTCCCTGCATTAAAGTCCCCGGCCACTAGGAGCGCTGCCTCTAGATGAGCGTTTTCCTGTTTACTTATGGCCTTATACAGCTCATTAAGTGCAATCTTAGTGCCAGCATCAAGTTTTTGGTGGTAAATAGACAGCTACGAAAAATATATATGAAAACTCTCTTGGTAAATAGTGTGGTCTACAGCTTATCATGAGATACTCTACCTCAGGCGAGCAAAACCTCGATACTTCCTTAGTATTAGTTCCTCCTCCTTCAGGGTGTGCGTCGTCTGGAACTGGGGGAGCTCTACTTTGACGTGAGCCTGCTGCTGTGGTGTGGTGCACTGGTCTACCTAACAGCTAACGGTATCTGCTCTGCCTACGTCCCCATGCTCATGGTGGCATTCCCTCTGGTCACCAAGCTGCTCCTTGCCAGGAAGTTCAAACTCCGAGGTAAAGAGACTTGAGTGGTCAAAACATTGTACATTGTACCACACTGTACCTGGTTCTGTGTTACATATTTATAACTTTTATTTGAATTTGTCTCCCATGAGGAAGTTCCTTTTCATTAAAAATAAATTATTACTGGTTAGTGTTGGATACTAGGGTTGGGCGATATTTGGGGAAACGTCTTCTACGATATGCTACTCCAAATATCGCGATATCCAATATAATTGTTTTGCACCGTTAATGACTAAATCATTTTAAAAAACGTATTTACAATATTATAGTCACATTCTCATTAAATAATCTTTGTGTAACAAAACAATAAGGCTTAGTTAATTCATTTAGACTTGATTTTCAACATATCGATACAGCCTAACTGATAAAACAACACAGTTTTTATTTGTAAAGTTCAAATGGAATATAGTCTTTCTTGCACATCATATCATGATATTGGCCCAACCCTACTGGATACTGTTAAATGCTCCCATTGTTATTATTAAGGGTGATGTTTAATCAGAAGGTCTTTGTCAGTTCATTTTCACAGCTCAGCAACAATACTGATACATTGATGTGTCTCGCCAGGATAGTTTTTTTTAATTGAATGGCAGGAATTGTTATTATTCTGGCTCTTAATATGTCCCTCCTGTCCTGCTTTGGTCCAGGTGCATCTGTGAATTACTCTGTGCTCTACCAGCTGGGTTAGGGTTAGTTAATGTAAATGTATCTCTCCTGTGTATATCTCCAGGTGTGTCGGTGAAGTACTATGTGCTCTACCAGCTGGGTCTGGCTCTGCCATATGTCCACTTCATGTTCCTGATCTGGGTGGTGTTTGAGATCTTCACGCCCATCCTGGGGCGCAGCGGCACAGCGATCCACCCTGACGTGGTCCTGGCCACCCTCGTTACCCTCACCATACTCTTCCTCTCCTCCTTCTTTGTCAGTACAGTTACTGTACCTCTTTAGCATAAGATAAAACAACTAAACTGTCCTGTTTCAAGTGTATCTTAGTGCTCCTAAATGGGATGACAGGTAAACCACTGTGCTTTTAAGCCTCTCTTTCTCGCTCTGTTCTCTTCTCTCTTCTCTTCTCTCCCCCAGCTCCACTTTATCTACCTGGCCAGGTCTACTAAGTGGCTGTTGTCAGGTCTGGGAACAGTGTTTACTGTGTTTCTGTTACTTGTATCCTGTGGTCTGTTCTTCCCCTACACAGCAGACCCCTCCGGCCCACGCCCCAAACGGGTCTTCATCCAGGTGAGACCATCTGAGGCACTTTCTGCTTACACAAACACACCTGACAGATTTTTATTTAACCTTATTTATCCAGGCATGTCAGTTAATAACAAATAATTATTTACATTTTATTCATTAATGCTTTAGATAGGGATAGATGCAAACATGTTGACACATTGAATAAACGATTATCGGATGCGTTGCACCCCCGCCCCAAAGCATACCACTCGTACCTTCCATGGTCTGGATGGCCAGGTGGAGAGTAGAGACTCAGGTCTGTGGATCAACAGCTTAGACTACACTGGCATGCAGCACATCACGCCTATCATACCAGAGATCAATGATACCATCAAGGCCAATTGTCAGGAGGACATGCCTTTCTGTGGCTACCCCTGGTTCAAATCTGTCAAGTAAGTCACACCCACAGAATTAAATGGAATATTTATTATAATTCTAATATATTTTATGTATTATATTGTATCTCTGTGGTCCCACCTGACCTGACTACTCTGCTCTGTTTATAAACTCAGCAAAAAAAGAAACGTCCCTTTTTCAGGACCCTGTCTTTCAAAGATAATTAGTAAAAATCCAAATAACTTCACAGATCTTCATTGTAAAGGGTTTAAACACTGTTTCCCATGCTTGTTCAATGAACAATAAACAATTAATGAACATGCACCTGTGGAACGGTCGTTAAGACACTAACATCTTACAGACGGTAGGCAATTAAGGTCACAGTTATGAAAACTTAGGACACTAAAGAGGCCTTTCTACTGACACCAAAAGAAAGATGCCCAGGGTCCCTGCTCATCTGCGTGAACGTGCCTTAGGCATGCTGCAAGGAGGCATGAGGACTGCAGATGTGGCCAGGGCAATAAATTGCAATGTTCATACTGTGAGACGCCTAAGACAGCGCTACAGGGAGACAGGATGGACAGCTGATCGTCCTCGCAGTGGCAGACCACGTGTAACAACACCTGCACAGGATCGGTACATCCGAACATCACACCTGCGGGACAGGTACAGGATGGCAACAACAACTGCCCGAGTTACACCAGGAATGCACAATCCCTCCATCAGTGCTCAGACTGTCCGCAATAGGCTGAGAGAGGCTGCTTGTAGGCCTGTTGTAAGGCAGGTCCTCACCAGACATCACCGGCAACAACGTCGCCTATGGGCACAAACCCACCGTCGCTGGACCAGACAGGATTGGCAAAATGTGCTCTTCACTGATGAGTCGCGGTTTTGTCTCACCAGGGGTGATGGTCGGATTCACATTTATCGTCAAAGGAATGAGCGTTACACCGAGGCCTGTACTCTGGAACGGGATTGATTTGGAGGTGGAGGGTCCGTCATGGTCTGGGGCGGTGTGTCACAGCATCATTGGACTGAGCTTGTTGTCATTGCAAGGCAATCTCTATGCTGTGCGTTACAGGGAAGACATCTTCCTCCCTCATGTGGTACCCTTCCTGCAGGCTCATCCTGACATGACCCTCTAGCATGACAATGCCACCAGCCATACTGCTCGTTCTGTGCTTGATTTCCTGCAAGACAGGAATGTCAGTGTTCTGCCATGGCCAGCGAAGAGCCCGGATCGCAATCCCATTGAGCACGTCTGGGACCTGTTGGATCGGAGGGTGAGGGCTAGGGCCATTCCCCCCAGAAATGTCTGGGAACTTGCAGGTGCCTTGGTGGAAGAGTGGGGTAACATCTCACAGCAAGAACTGGCAAATCTGGTGCAGTCCATGAAAATGAGATGCACTGCAGTACTTAATGCAGCTGGTGGCCACACCAGATACTGACTGTTACTTTTGATTTTGACCCCCCCCCCTTTGTTCAGGGACACATTATTCCATTTATGTTAGTCACGTCTGTGGAACTTGTTCAGTTTATGTCTCAGTTGTTGAATCTTGTTATGTTCATACAAAAATGTATACATGTTAAGTTTGCTGAAAATAAATGCAGTTGACAGTGAGAGGACATTTCTTTTTTTGCTGAGTTTAGTTATGTTGCTGATGATGGATTTAGTGGTATGCCAATTTGTTGTTTATGACTTGATGATGCACTGTCCATATAGTTAGGCGGATCATATCTTTTACTTGTGTTTTATATTGTATTACATCGGATTGTATGTATGTTTCTGCATATGTACCAAGATGTTCAAATAAACCTAAACTTAACCTAAACCTGGTGGTATACAGATACAGTACCAGTCAAAAGTTTGGACACACCTACTCATTACAGGGTTTTTCTTTATTTGACTATTTCCTACATTGTAGACTAATAGTGAAGACATCAAAACTATGAAATAACACATATGGAATCATGTAGTAACCAAAAAAGTGTTCAACAAATCAAAATATATTTTATATTTGAGATTCTTCAAATAGCCACCCTTTGCCTTGATGACGGCTTTGCACACTCTTGGCATTCTCTCAACTAGCTTCATGAGGTAATCACCTGGAATGCATTTCAATTAACAGGTGTGCCTTGTTAAAAGTTAACTTGTGGAATTTATTTCCTTCTTAATGCATTTGATTCAATCAGTTGTGTTGTGACAAGGTAGGGGTGGTATACAGAAGATATTTGGTAAAAGACCAAGTCCATATTATGGCAAGAACAGCTCAAATAAGCAAAGAGAAACAACAGTCCATCATTACTTTAAGGCATGAAGGTCAGTCAATCCGGAACATTTCAAGAACTTTGAAAATTTCTTCAAGTGCAGTTGCAAAAACCATGAAGCACTATGATGAAACTGGCTCTCATGAGGACCGCCACAGGAAAGGAAGACCCAGAGTTACCTCTGCTGCAGAGGATAAGTTCATTAAAGTTAACTGCTCCTCAGATTGCAGCCCAAATAAATGCTTCACAGAGTTCAAGTAACAGACACATCTCAACATCAACTGTTCAGAGGAGACTGCGTGAATCATCAGGCCTTCATGGTCGAATTGCTGCAAAGAAACCACTACTAAAGGACACCACTAAGGAGTAGAGACTTGCTTGGGCCAAGAAACATGAGCAATGGCCATTAGACCGGTGGAAATCTGTCCTTTCGTCTGATGAGTCCAAATGTGAGATTTTTGGTTCCAATCGGCGTGTCTTTGTGAGACGCAGAGTAGGTTAACGGATGATCTCCGCATGTGTGGTTCCCACCGTGAAGCATGGAGGAGGGGGTGTGATGGTGTGGGGGTGTTTTACTGGTGACACTGTCTGTGATTTATTTAGAATTCAGGGCACACTTAACCAGCATGGCTACCACAGCATTCTGCAGCGATACGCCTTCCCATCTGGTTTGCGCTTAGTGGGACTATCATTTGTTTTTCAACAGGACAATGACCCAACACACCTCCAGGCTGTGTAAGGGCTATTTGACCAAGGAGGAGAGTGATGGAGTGCTTCATCAGATGACCTGGCCTCCACAATCACCCAACCTCAACCGAATTGAGATGTTTTGGGATGAGTTGGACCGCAGAGTGAAGGAAAAGCAGCCAACAAGTGCTCAGCATATGTGGGAACTCCTTCAAGACTGTTGGAAAAGCATTCCTCATGAAGCTGGTTGAGAGAATGCCAAGAGTGTGCAAAGCTGTCATCAAGGCAAAGGGTGGCTACTTTGAAGAATCTCAAATATAAAATATATTTTGATTTGTTTAACTTTTTTGGTTACTACATGATTCCATGTGTGTTATTACATAGTTTTGATGTCTTCATTATTATTCTACAATGTAGAAAATAGTGATAATAAAGAAAAACCTTTGAATGAGTAGGTGTGTCCAAACTTTTGACTGGTATTGTATATACTTAAAAAGAAAGACATGAGCTGTTTAAAATGTTACTGTATTATGCACATACCATATTTATTTTGTTGGAACACTTTCTGGCAAATTTTGACTGGTTCAGCAAAAAATTAAAATAAATAAGCTGTACACATTTTTTGTTATTAATTTTCTGGTTTTCAGGGACAACTGGTACCTCCCGGCCCCTGAGGTCTTTCCTAAGTCTCCTGTGGAGTTTCAGCTCCTTTCTAAAGACAAGACGACAAAATGGGGAACAGTTAAGATGACTTTTGAAGTCAAAGGTGAGATGTCACTTTATCCTCTAATCCTCCGCACATACCTTCTATAAGATCCAATACCCCCCCAGCACTTTCCAAATATTTTTTTTAAATGGCACTACCCTCATGTGTGACTAGATCCCATAGTTTGTCACCTCATGTGGTCAGGATTAACTCCTGACCCTACAGTTCATTCGGAAAGTATTCAGACCCCTTGACTTTTTCCACATTTTGTTACGTTACAGCCTAATTTTAAAATTGATTAAATTGTTTTGTTTTTCCTCATCAATCTACACACAATACCCCATAATGACTAAGCAAAAACAGGTTTTTAGAAATCTTTGCAAATTTATTTAAAAAAATAAGAAACTGAAATATCACTTTACATAAGTATTCAGACCCTTTACTCAGTATTTTGTTGAAGCACCTTTGGCAGCGATTACAGCCTCGAGTCTTCTTGGGTATGACGCTACAAGCTTGGCACACCTGTATTTGGGGAGTTTCTCCCATTCTTCTCTGCAGATCCTCTCAAGCTCTGTCAGGTTGGATGGGGAGCGTCTCTGCACAGCTATTTTCAGGTCTCTCCAGAGATGTACCGATCGGGTTCAAGTCTGCGCTCTGGTTAAGCCACTCAAGGACATTCAGAGACTTGTCCCGAAGCCACTCCTGCGTTGTCTTGTCAGTGTGCTTAGGGTCGTTGTCCTGTTGGAAGGTAAACCTTCGCCCCAGTCTGAGGTCCTGAGCGCTCTGGAGCAGGTTTTCATCAAGGATCTCTCTGTACTTTGCTCCGTTCATCTTTCCCTCGATCCTGTTGGTGCAGTGCTGCAGAGATGGTTGTCCTTCTGGAAGGTTCTCCCATCTCCACAGAGGAACTCTGGAGCTCAGTCAGTGACCATCTGGTTCTTGGTCACCTCCCTGATCAAGGCCCTTCTCCCCTGATTGCTCAGTTTGGCAGGGTGCCCAGCTCTAGGAAGAGTCTTGATTGTTCCAAACTTCTTCCATTGAAGAACGATGGAGGCCACTGTGTTCTTGGACCTTCAATGCTGCAGAAATGTTTTGGTACCCTTCCCCAGATCTGTGCCTCGACACAATCCTGTCTCTGAGCTTTACGGACAATTCCTTCAACCTCATGGCTTGGTTTTTGCTCTGACATGCAAGGTCAACTGTGGGACCTTTATTTTGACAGGTGTGTGCCTTTCCAAATCATGTCCAATCAATTGAATTTACCACAGGTGGACTCCAATGAAGTTGTAGAAACATCTCAAGGATGATCAATAGAAACAGGATGCACCTGAGCTCAATTTCGAGTCTCATAGCAAAGGATCTGAATACTTATGTAAATAAGTTATTTCTGTTTTTTATGTTATATTATTTTGCACAAAAAAATACAAACCTTTGTCATTATGGGCTATTGTGTGTAGATTGAGGGGAAGAAAATAATGTAATCCATTTTAGAATGTGGAAAAAGTCAAGGCTTCTGAATACTTTACGAATGCAATCTACACCCAATGTCCCATAATGACAAAGCGAAAACAGGTTTCTAGAAATTGCTGCCAATATATTACAAATAAAAAACAGAAATACCTTATTTGCATAAGTATTCAGACCCATTGCTATGAGACTCGAAATTGAGCTCAGGTGCATCCTGTTTCCATTGATCTGCTCCAGAGCGCTCAGAACCTCAGACTGGGGCAAAGGTTCACCTTCCAACAGGACAACGACCCTAAGCACACAGCCAAGACAAAACAGGATTGGCTTCGGGACAAGTCTCTGAATGTCCTTGAGTGGCCCAGCCAGAGCCCGGACTTGAACCCGATCATTATTATTATTTATAAATTAGCCAAACATTTCTACAAACTTGTTTTTGCTTTGTCCTTATGGGGTATTGTGTGTAGATTGATGAGGGAAAAAAACACTTTTATCCATTGTAGAATAAAGCTGTAACATAACAAAGTGGAAAAAGTAATGGGGTCTGAATACTTTCTGAATTCACTGTGTGTGTGTCCTCCAGGTCCCAGCCACATGTCCCTCTACCTCATGCTCCACCGAGGGGCCTCTCTGTCTAGCTGGTCGTTTGGGGACAGCACCCCCCACTTTAACCTGGCTGGAGAGTACCTCATATTCTACACCCACGGCCTGGACGCCCCCGCCTGGTACTTCTGGTTCGAAATACAGGTACTGACTATTAGGGATTTAAGGTTCCAAGCAGGCAAAGCTGGTGACAATCAGAACTGGTTGTTATCTGGTTGTAATGACATCATTTGGACCAGTTTTGCCTGCTGGGTTAGCTCTTAGTTTCAAACATTCCTTTTTTCATGCACAATGTATTTTCAAAAGCTTGACAGGAATTTGTGCACATTAACCTTTTGTAGGAATGTTTGTATTGTGCACAGTGTACATATCATTGTGTGTATATTTATATATTGTCCATATATGTTTGTGTCTGTATTTCTCCTCTCTAGCCTCCCAGAGAGGAGGACCCGTTGGGCCCAGAGGGGATGATCTCAGTAGCCATCTCATCTAATTACTGCTTTGGAGAGGACCAGAGGACTGTTCAGCTAGACGACATGCTACAGAGGTTCCCCAAGTGGGCCTTCCCCTCTTCCTGGGTCTCCACCTATCACATGTACCGATACTGACACCTAGAATTATCATATGTACCGATGCTGAGATACTGGGCCCGTTGGGCCTGCTTCCCCTCCACACCGAAACAGACAGACACAGACGACAGATACACACATGCAGACAGACACACAGACATGCACATGCCCAGTTCACTGGCCTATTCGAGAGACCCCCACCATCACTGTGTCAATAGGCTAGTAGCTAACAGGACAGCCACTAAAGCCAAGCAACCTTTTTTATATATAGTAACAGTAGGACTAACTTACTGACAAAGGCATGGTCCACCGGAGTTTTCCTTTTTTTGTGGGATTAGGGGTAGTTAAGGCGTTGTTTTTTTAACTCTCTCTGCCTCTCTCTCTGCCGAACTGTTTTGTATCAATGGCCTTGCATTTTCTACCTCCTGCCAGCTCTGTCAACAAGCACGAGGTCAAAAGCATCAGTCTTTAGCATCACTATCTATATTTTCAGTTAAAAGGCTACAGTGCCTTTAGATGGATGGTTATATCTCTAGCATCTCTGGTTCTGACCTTTCCAGGGCCAAGCTTAAAGGGACAATTCACTTTTATTTAAAGTTTTGCTTATTTTACACTTCCCTAGGGTGTATTTGTTTCCTTCAAACTGTTTCTTATTTTAAAAAATGTTTAATGGGTTGAAAGAATGAATGTTACTGTGTGAATTAAATGGTCATGTTTGGATTGTTCAAGAGTTCATAAAGAGCTATGAATTTTGATATATTTTATTGTACTGCAAGTGCTATGGATTTATTGTTACAGGGAAACTGTGGGTATTTGAGGAAACGGCACAAGGGTGGGCTCCTATCTTTTAAATATAGTTGATTAGAATCTGGCTGTCTTTTCCTGTCTTTTGTTTAACTAGCAAAGTGCAAAGAAATGTTAATTCAGGTTGGGCATGAGTTTTTGCTTGAATTTGGTTAAAAGGACAGTGAATTCGTTCATACTTTGAGAACTTGCTCTTGTGTATCAGATCACAATTTTCTCTCATAGAGATTATTCTGAACTGAAGACACGCGTTACCACGTTGTTTTAGCCTATTGGTGACAGTCATACTCTATAATTCTGTAATGTATCATTTATTTCATGTACACTAATTGTTTGTGTCAATTCTTTCATGACTAATACATCCTATTAGTTGAATAGAGTAACTGCATTCCTCGTTTTACAGAGTAATTCTTTAGTTGACCATACGCTTATAATTTAGAAGGTCTATTGGTAGTTGTTATAGACACTATACACATGGCATATTCTGGGGTACCACCTTGACATCTCTGATCTGCTTGCCTCAATAAATGAATGCTAGAACATTGGTTTCCAGGATTAGCTATTTGTATCTTGTCTCTTCATAATTGCATAACGGTGGAAGTTAGACACATACAGTGGGGGAAAAAAGTATTTAGTCAGCCACCAATTGTGCAAGTTCTCCCACTTAAAAAGATGAGAGAGGCCTGTAATTTTCATCATAGGTACATGTCAACTATGACAGACAAATTGAGAAAAAAAATTCCAGAAAATCAGATTGTAGGATTTTTAATGAATTTATATGCAGATTATGGTGGAAAATAGGTATTTGGTCACCTACAAACAAGCAAGATTTCTGGCTCTCACAGACCTGTAACTTCTTCTTTAAGAGGCTCCTCTGTCCTCCACTCGTTACCTGTATTAATGGCACCTGTTTGAACTTGTTATCAGTATAAAAGACACCTGTCCACAACCTCAAACAGTCACACTCCAAACTCCACTATGGCCAAGACCAAAGAGCTGTCAAAGGACACCAAAAACAAAATTGTAGACCTGCACCAGGCTGGGAAGACTGAATCTGCAATAGGTAAGCAGCTTGGTTTGAAGAAATCAACTGTGGGAGCAATTATTAGGAAATGGAAGACATACAAGACCACTGATAATCTCCCTCGATCTGGGGCTCCGCGCAAGATCTCACCCCGTGGGGTCAAAATGATCACAAGAACGGTGAGCAAAAATCCCAGAACCACACGGGGGGACCTAGTGAATGACCTGCAGAGAGCTGGGACCAAAGTAACAAAGCCTACCATCAGTAACACACTTCGCCGCCAGGGACTCAAATCCTGCAGTGCAAGACGTGTCCCCCTGCTTAAGCCAGTACATGTCCAGGCCCGTCTGAAGTTTGCTAGAGTGCATTTGGATGATCCAGAAGAGGATTGGGAGAATGTCATATGGTCAGATGAAACCAAAATAGAACTTTTTGGTAAAAACTCAACTCGTCGTGTTTGGAGGACAAAGAATGCTGAGTTGCATCCAAAGAACACCATACCTACTGTGAAGCATGGGGGTGGAAACATCATGCTTTGGGGCTGTTTTTCTGCAAAGGGAACAGGACGACTGATCCGTGTAAAGGAAAGAATGAATTGGGCCATGTATCGTGAGATTTTGAGTGAAAACCTCCTTCCATCAGCAAGGGCATTGAAGATGAAACATGGCTGGGTCTTTCAGCATGACAATGATCCCAAACACACCGCCCGGGCAACGAAGGAGTGTCTTCGTAAGAAGCATTTCAAGGTCCTGGGAGTGGCCTAGCCAGTCTCCAGATCTCAACCCCATAGAAAATCTTTGGAGGGAGTTGAAAGTCCGTGTTGCCCAGCGACAGCCCCAAAACATCACTGCTCTAGAGGAGATCTGCATGGAGGAATGGGCCAAAATACCAGCAACAGTGTGTGAAAACCTTGTGACTTACAGAAAACGTTTGACCTGTGTCATTGCCAACAAAGGGTATATAACAAAGTATTGAGAAACTTTTTGTGATTGACCAAATACTTATTTTCCACCATAATTTGCAAATAAATTAATTATAAATCCTACAATGTGATTTTCTGGAAGATTTTTTCTCATTTTGTCTGTCATAGTTGACGTGTACCTATGATGAAAATTACAGGCCTCTCTCATTCTTTTTAAGTGGGAGAACTTGCACAATTGGTGGCTGACTAAATACTTTTTCCCCCACTGTACATGCTCATTATAGTCATCCTGAGTCGGTGATGCAATGATTCGCTATCTTGCTAGATCCTCCAGAAACACACATGGGCTGTTGCATTTATTCACATAATAATGGAGTCAGATTGATAAATGTAGTTTATTATATTAAACCAAATTTCTAAATATGGTTGGATAATTTCAATCAAACTTCATAATGGTGACCCCTCATCCTCAGTCAATGGGGATTACCAACAATGTACACGACTGCTTTATACCTGACCACGTTTTTAAGGTTACGCCTATTCCTTGTAAATATTAGGCTATATGTATTGAGTATAATTAAGAAAATGTATAGACAAGGGGGGAATGTGTGGCGAAAACGCACTAAAGGCATGTTTCTGTCTCCCGACAAATTGGGCGCATTTATTGTGTCATTGTGTGAATTGTTTAGGCTACCCTTTGTTGGTTAATGTTGATACATTTCCCATTATATCACCACCAGCAAATGTGAACCGTTAATTCCGTTTTTTATCATCTACAATGTTGATTTACGGTAATTTCTGTTAATGCAATTTAAACTTCTACACTTGATCAACAAGTTTTGTTTTATTTCATAACATTAACGACTTTTGTCAATTTCTTAATTGTTTTCTAAATGTTTATCTTTTGTTTGCATGTGATCATACCTCAGCACGAATAAAAGGTTACTTTGCCTGCTTGCAAATGTGTGCTAAAATGGGGATGTTTCATAGTATTTCTGATTATCTTAACTCAATTAACTTTTTTTTTTTTTTTTACAGAAAACCACGGAACCACAACTGCAATATAGGCCTGCACTCAGAAAAAAAGGTGCTATCTAGAACCTAAAAAGATTATTCCGCTGTCGCCATAGGAGAACACTTTTTGGTTCCAGGTAGAACCCCTTCTGTGCCTATGTAGAACCATTTTGGGTTCCATTCCACAGAGGGTTCTACGTGGAACCCAAAAGGGTTGTTACTGGAACCAAAAATGGTTCTACTTTGGTGACAGCCAAAGAACCCTGTTGGAACCCCTTTTTTGAAGAGTGTACTCAACAAGTTTAACCTGTTCAGTTTACACCATTTCATTCCGTACTCAAACGTCTGCCTGGTATTCAAGATAACACGCAACATAGCATCACCACCTTTGAAGGTTTTTGTCAAACTCTGCTCTAACTTAAATAGCAGTTCCAAGAACCTCCACCAGGGGGTGACTGTAGCATCCTCAAATGGACAAAAAGGAGACACGAGGGCACCCCACACTCATTTTATATCCCGAGGGGTCTTTATTTTCATACTGTACTGTCGTGGTCAAAAGTTTTGAGAATAACACAAGTATTGGTCTTCACAAAGTTTGCTGCTTCAGTGTTTTTAGATATTTTTGTCAGATGTTACTATGGTATACTGAAGTATAATTACAAGCATTCCATAAGTGTCAAAGGCTTTTATTGACAATTACATTAAGTTTATGCAAAGAGTCAATATTTGCAGTGTTGACCCTTCTTTTTCAAGACCTCTGCAATCCGCCCTGGCATGCTGTCAATTAACATCTGGGCCACATCCTGACTGATGGCAGCCCATTCTTGCATAATCAATGCTTGGAGTTTGTCAGAATTTGTGGGTTTTTGTTTGTCCACCCGCCTCTTGAGGATTGACCACAAGTTCTCAATGGGATTAAGGTCTGGGGAGTTTCCTGGCCATGGACCCAAAATGTAGATGTTTTGTTCCCAGAGCCACTTAGTTATCACTTTTGCCTTATGGCAAGGTGCTCCATCATGCTGGAAAAGGCATTGTTCGTCACCAAACTGTTCTTGGATGGTTGGGAGAAGTTGCTCTCTGAGGATGTGTTGGTACCATTCTTTATTCATGGCTGTGTTCTTAGGCAAAATTGTGAGTGAGCCCACTCCCTTGGCTGAGAAGCAACCCCATACATGAATGGTCTCAGGATGCTTTACTGTTGGCATGACAGGACTGATGGTATCGCTCACCTTATCTTCTCCGGACAAGCTTTTTTCCGGATGCCCCAAACAA